CTCTCTAGTTTTATATAACATCTGTTCATAGATATATATACAACACATACAACACATACAACACATACAACACATACAACACATATATGTGTTGTATATATCTATGATCTGTTACATGGTGTCTGACACAACCAGCGACCTTACGACCAAAGTTATGGTTTTGGTAGGTTTATAGCAGCACTACTATACGTGTCGTTTCTAACAATGCTATTCACCTATCATAATCATCTACTCACGGGTGCTACCTTTGGTCTAATTTTGGTTATGGTTATGATTGTTCGAACAACACCTCCTTGCTTTTCCTAGTAGCAAGTATCAGCTTGTAAATTGTTATTTTAAAAACTTATATTGATAAATCTTTTACTTTTACGTGGAGAATTGTGGAAATTAATTTGCAAGGTTATTTTGAGCCCTGATATATGTATATGTGTATATATGTATGTACATCTAGATATCTACGCACACAATCACATGCGTACATGCACATGCAACCACACACACACAGTTATCTACCTGTAGTTTGTTGATGAGAGAATTATCAACAGCTTGTGCCAATGTGTCTGGAGATCGTAACAGTAAGGTGGCGGCCTCTGGTGGCTGTACAGCTTCAGAATTTCCTGACATATCCGGCCGATAATCGCAGCCTTGGATCCCTGTATACACCAGATCAGAAGAAAACATTTACAACATGGTAATGACAGATAACCACGCATTGTTGCCAAAAAAGAATATATAGCAGATTACAGCAAAACAAAGTGCCAATAGTATTTCTAAATGCACAAACTGTCATAGCTCTTTTCACGAAGCCTCGACCATGTGACTTTCGTTTAACGAACACAAAAAAAAACGTTCACTTAATTTCAAACGAATAATTACTCTATAAAAAGGGTCAAAGCATCAATCATCATCGTGTTAAAATATACAGTAGCTCGCAAAGACTGGTGATAGTTACAATGCAGCATACACCTCACTCTTTATATTTGCTATAGATCTGCTTGCATTCTGTGAACATTATATGCCCACCATGTCAAGCATCAGGCACCCAGGTGAGTGTGTTTGTAAACGTGCAAGATTGCCACGGAAAGTCGCGAGTACAGACGTGATAACGCGAGTGATCGGAAGGGCCGGGACAGGTGAGCAACAGGTCATGTGAGTTGGTTGTTAAAATAAACAAAAACCCGTCTCCATGACGATTACGACGTCATTCAGTGGTAACAGCCTGCGGTGGATTGAAAACCTACATTAACGACTTCTAATGTATGTATCGCTCATCAGACAATCATTGAGAATGCATGCATATTGTTCATCAAAGAGGCATGATGATATAGTAACTATATTATATACACGTATGACGCCATCACATCACCATTCTGCAGTCAGTATAAAGCATCATGTAAACTTTGCAATCACGTAACAATGTCAGCATAGCACCTACTTAGTTGTATGATATATACAGTAACACCATGTGTTAAGATTACTCAGTGTACGGTAATTTGCCTATACAGTTTTTAAATGAAGACCAATATGCTCAGAATACTAAACGTAAATTTGCTCGCAATCTTGACACTAAATAAGTTCATTCGGTTGGTAGACTAATATATATATAACAGTGTTCATTTTTACTCAACCGTAAAGATTGGAAACGTACCGCTTACGTTTCGCCTCCTGCCAGGAGGCTTTCTCAAAGCTAACTGATGATTATCAGTTTTGACCACCAGATGGTGTGGTGGTCAATAGCTTAGTCCACACGTGACTAAGCCTGTATACCCCCTCGTCCCGGTTGACGTTCGGGGTCTTGCGGATCCAGATGGCCTCCTTAATCCAATGCCTGATTTTGATTGGCTCGCGATCGATGATCTTCGAATTATCCCAATCGATGGTGTGTTTGTCCTTCACTACATGGTCAATGATCGCGGATTTGGTGATTTCGGTAGCCGACTGTTTTCGTTGAGCCCTTGTGAACGATTTGGGTGCTACGGTGTCTAAGTCCTTTTTGTGTTCTTTAAGGCGGGTTTCAAATTTTCGGCCGGTTTCTCCAATGTAACTTTTTTTTAACTTTGCTCGCAAGACATTTACAAGAAGAACGAAATAGGTTTGTCTACTCAAGAACTTGGTGTGCTCAATCGCTGTGAATATAAATCATGTAATACATTATGTAGCCAGCTGACAACATGTTGGCTAGGCCAGCTTTGAAGTGTACCACTAGCCCATTAGACACAATCTGACTGTAAGTGTAAGAGGAACACATGCACTCATGACGCAGCATGTACAACATAAGTGTTCTTGCAATCACTGCCCTGGATACAGTTAATCGCAACTAACAAAATGTTTCTCATTAATCACTTCTCCTTCTTCGTCGAGAAGAATACCTGATTATATCCAAAATTTTTTATCCCCGCAGAATATTCACCCTTTGGTGAGTGCGCCGAGGTAAGAATCTATTGGGAATCGGCAATTTTTTCCCAGATGCATTTTCTTTTCCCCAGTCACAGCTATCCTGGATGCTTCAGTACTGCAGGACTGAAGGCTGAAGCGTAAAGGAGCTGTAAATTGTAATACCCTGTGTCTGATGGTAACCATTACTGATGTGATGATAACAGTTAACACAGTCACAACAATGGAGCATCTTTCCCATGTCGGAGTTTGTTGACCATTGCCGAAGGATTCCAGATGGAGGAATCACAATCGAAAATCGGTCAAAAACTTTAGCCTGCTTTTTTAATTAACAACTCGATTGCATTCGCGGCATTTAGATGCAGCAATAAAAACAAGAGAATGATTGGTAAATCGTGCCAACCAGATTGGATTGGCCTACAACTATGCAACATCAAAATTCAAATTCCGATGTTGCAAAAGGGAGCTGGAAGTTAAAAATGGTTTCAGTTTGCAAGAAAAAATTGCCAGGGTTTACTGACCGGGGTTTGAACTCACACCCCTTTGGCTTTGCTGCGCAGGTAACCACAGGCACTTGGAATGTCTCAATAAAAAAAATAATGGTAAATAAACACGAAATGTATTTAGTTACTCTCTTATTCGTGTTGTTTGTGCACAGCGCGGGCGTGCGGTGTACTTGTGTGTTGCAGATGAGCATTTGACTGGCATTTACAGGTGATTATAGGCGAAATCTGGATCTGGATAGTTGTAAATTGATTAGTCTGATTACAGATTATCTATTTACTGTTTACTATTAACAGTTACTCTCTCTTATCTTCAGTCTCTATTTACAGATTAATCTGAAATAGAGTAGAGAAACATTAAGACTTTGGTAGTAAATACATTTCGTGTTTATTTACCATTAATTTTATTGTATTATTGAGACGTTCCAAGTGCCTGTGCGTGTAACGACTCGAGGTGGGCAAATTAGCCGGACCAGTCTGGCAGTCAAGTCAGTACGTGTCAGACAGTAGCTCTTTTCGGGGTTATCAAACAACGAAAATACATCAACTGTTCGCTATCTTTTGTTATTACCTCAACGACGCATTAAACTTCCTCGGCGTGCAGGTTCGATCTTTGCGAACAAGAAGACAAATTTAGCCTCAACAAAATATAGTTTTGAACATTTTGAAAACCGTCGCGTCCCAAGTTTCCAATATATCCCACAATGCATTGGCACTATATGCGTTGACTCACACCATGTCCCTTTATTACGTTAAGATTTAATAGCATGAAAAGGAATATGTACCCATCTATAGCTAATAGTAATAGTTAATTTTGTTGTCCTGTCGGATGTGGTGATTGGTGTATTTTGCGACGTAGGAGAAAATTCGGCTCTAATTCGGCTTTGATTGGCTGATTGGGTGTGTGTGTCAACGCATGCGCTTTTGTTTTCAACACATAATGGTGGTCGCGAATGTTGTTTTCGTGTTGTCTCAACAATGATGTTTGAAGAAGTGCAGGCTAGATAGTTGTTGCTATCGAAATGACTTTATTTAATTACGATATCGTGTGGTACACGAATATGAAACTGTGAAAATAATACCAATGGAATGCGTAAAAAACTCGTTAGCGAGCTACTCAAGTTGGCATGAAAAAGGCTTCTAAAACGACATCGTCCAGTTCAACTCAATACGCCCCAGTTTATACGCAGTCTCCTTCTTCTCGGTCCGAGGAGGATATTAATAAGAATATGGCGAGACCGACACGAAAATGGGAAGTTTTTCCCGGAAGAAACAGGTTTTGTTGCGATGGAAGATTCATGATGGCTCGACAACTCGGCATATTTTACTTCACTGTGTTTTTAATAGTGGCAACATGTGCTTTATTCTTTTATTTTGAGTAAGTACATTGAAGGGTTTGAGGTTTAAGCTAAATAGGCCTACTTTTGCGAACACCGCATGTTATTGTTAAGCACCCTTATGTTAAAATACAACTTGTATAATTTACCCTTTATGCTTTATTTATAGTAGGTCTCAGGGTAGCTCTAGCCTCTAGTACTATAGCCCGCGTACATTGACTGCCGCAGGGCTATAGAACATTG